CAATTGTTCAAAATACCGTGGTGGCAAGAAGAACGTTAAAAATTCCTGGCGGAAATTTTCCCATGAGGAACTTTGTAGGCGGCTGGAGCGGAACCAACGACTGGCACGGTCTGTGAGAAGTTCGGCCATGGCCCGCGGCAGATGGTTTGTGTCCACCCCATACGAGAGCGCGCGTTCTTCGAGCAGTTCGATGAATGTTAGAGGGTCATCTTGGCCGTCAAACTGGATTCCCCACTTTCGGATGCGTTCCGCCATTGGTGCAGCGTGGTTGTAGTGGTGCCCTTCCATGGGTCGGTCGATCGCTGGCAAGACCCTCGGTACGGGTGCTGGGTGGGTCTCGGTAGCTAGGGGCCTTGCAAACGGGGTTGCAGGAGTGCGGTATTCGGTGGCTGCGGGGACTCGTAATCCGGTCTTAGGATCCATTTGGCGAGTGTCGGATGGTCCAGGAGTAATGGGCAGTGGTGACTTGGAGCGAGGGCGTGAGGCTGGTTTGGCATAGTGCCTCTCGAACTCTCCTAGGCGAACCCAGGCTTCTTGCGCGAGTGACCCGGCGACTAGTGCGGCAAATTTCTTTCGGCGTTCATCGACCGTTCCTTCGCTGCCGAATCCGAATTATTCGGCGAGGACTTCTAGTTTGTCCCGACGGAGTTTGTGGATCCAACCGGTGCTGACCCCTGGATTGGAAAAGTGTCCCGCAGGGTATGCCTCCTCTGGTTGTTCATCGTCGTGATGTTCCATGTTGATTTCTGTTGATTTTTTTGGGCACTGAGTCACTGTTGAACGGCAATTTTTAGGATCGGAACTGCGTATACTTTCGCGTTTGTTTTCGCGCCCGGATTATGTAAGTCCGCGGACTTGTTATTGATTCAATTTGCTTTTTGATGGCAGTGGGTCATCCCTGATTTCGGTTTTCTTGAAGTTTCCACGAAAAATCCTTTAAAGTCCCTGCTCGGGCGTCACTTGTAATGTCCTATCTCAGGCTGAGGTATGCATCAGTCTGTCCAGGGTCCTGAATTAAAAGTTATTTATAATTCACGAGGCCTTTATCGGGAAAACCAGGAACTTTTCCAGAAACTGAAATAGAAATCACAACACTTTTTGGTTCTTTTAATTTTAATGGGTTTCTTTATTCTTCCGTATTATTATTCTACCCGGTTATGTTATGTATTATGTTATGTTTAATTGTTCTACGACGCGTATGGTGGTTTGACTTGCGTGTTTGTTATTTGCCTGACTGCTACGGCTGGTGGACTCTTTGCCTACGATGGCTGGTGTACTGCCTTTTCTTCATGCAAGGCAGTGCCTTTTATAGATCGGGCGGCCTTCCATTTTCCCATGAATGTCTTACAGATAACTTATTTCTACTCCAGAATGTGGGAAGGGTTCTTACATAAATATATATTGCCGAATTATAGTCTGCGCGTGCAGACGGGCTGATCGGTAACAGAAGGTTACCTAATCATTAGCCCTGCAGTCAGTGTCCAATATTCCCGGTAAGGAAAGTCGGAGACTGTTGACTGGCTCGCGCATGTGGGGGGTTTTCCCGGTAATCGAGGGTTACCGAAGCAATCGCCTCCCAACAAGTGTCCAATGTCCCAGGTAAGGTGATCGGTGTGCACCGGTACCGTGGGAAAGGAATTTCGTTGGCACTTCGGGAATATATATTGTTAGGAATATTTATTTATTTAATATTATTTTAGGTACTTATTGCGTAAGCCCCTTGTGCTGGTCTCCTGTCTTTTGGCGTGTGCTGAGTTTGCATTTTTGCTGGGTGTTGATCGCTTCACCTGGGAGTAGCGTTGGCTGCGTCGCCTGCTTGTGACGAACCATGGGATCCATGGTTCGTTTCACACTATAAAAATGTAAACAATGACAGACAGGAAAATAGGAAAAACCAAAAACACAACCCATCAGCACTCAGGAAAAAAACGAGCAAGCAAACAAAGATTATTAAATAAAAATGGAAAAAGCAGAAAATGGCGGTGGTAAGTTTAATGGATGTACTTTTAATTTATAAAAATACTATTAATACTACACAAAAATGCAGCAAAAAAAAGAAAAGCTGGTGGCTGGTTGAAGTGGTCTGAATTGTCAAGAGTACTCATTTTCATACTTTGCAATATAGAAAAAAATAGAATTGAACCAAGTGGTGGTGCTCCATCGGGATGACAGCATTATAATAAACTAAACTCGTTCCTTGGATCGTTTCGGATTAACAATGTTCGACGAATACTTTTTGAAGTCAGTCAAGGTAGACCCTGACGGCTCTAACTGCAGCTCAAGCATAATTTCTGCGGCCAGTGCGCCCCGACCAAGCGCGCAAAACAGGACGCCCAGGCAGAGCTTCTGAGCATTGCGCCCAGCAAAAAACGGACGACACATGGACAGAAATACTCCAAATGGCAAGCGGCAACGAAAAATTCCAAAATGAACTATTGCAATTTCTTCGAGAGTCCAAGGCAAACAATAATTAATTCCTAATATATTATATATATATATAAGAAAATTTAGTTTTAAAAATGTATTTAATTGTTTCAATTTAAGCAATAAGTTGCTAATGAAAATGGGTATGGCTTCTTTAGTTTTTTAGAGAACCTGAAGGCCGAGTCGCCGATCAACATTACTGGAACCTGCACTTACTTAAACTTACCTATAATCCACAAGGGCAAATAATACCGTTGAGTACCATCCCTTAAAATTATGGTGGTCGACTGCACCATCTGCTGGTGGCTTTATTATGAGAGTATACATCTAGAATACATACATATTAAGTGTATATAAACATGTATGAACATTTTGATTTCTTACCAATGACACCTATTCACTGAGGAAAACCAATTTCTTCAAAGCCCTGGACACACTCATCAATTTTTTCTGATGTTAGGTGGTTGGGGGACAAATACACTTCCGCAAACTGATTAATTAGAGCTCCACAAAATTCATGAAGAATTTTTCAAACCATGTTGGATGAAACTCCGAACAGCCTACAAACTACACGGTATTCAGAAGAAGATCCCAATGTGTATAAGGCAATTGCAATACGTTTTTCCAGCGTAATTGCATTACGCCAGCTGGTGTCTTTTTTCCGAAGAATTTCAAGCCGGCTGATCAACAAACAGAAAATGGGCTTCTCCATTCTGAAGCTTTCTTTGAAGAACTCGTCTTTGTTATCCAGAACCTCCTTCTCCCAAACATCCTTCTCTCAAATAGCCCATATTAAATTATTATAAATTCACAATCAAGAACACAATGTTGTCATCAGCTGTTTTCCATGGATGGTGGATGTTGCCAGTGGGAATCGCAGTTTCACATTTGTCAGAAATTCCCACCTGTTCCTCATAGATGTGCTGTGTGGGAAAAGGCTCTAAGGTTTTGCCATTCCGAAAATTTCCCAGATATTCCACCATCCTTATGGGATGTTCCTAATTCGGTCGTTTCTCTGCGGTATTTTTTCTATAATTGTCAAATGCAACCATAAATATTTGACATTCACAACAAATAACACTAGTCAACACGATTTTTCCTGAAGGAACAAAACGAACTTTTTCTTAAAGATTTGGGGCTTAGAAATGGTTTGATGATATTTTTTTTTTCTATGGCAGAACTTTTTTTTTAAGTTGGGCAGTTGGGCCTGCAGCCTTCCAAAAGGTATTTTTTGTTAATTTTTTTCATTTTTTAGGTTTGGTTAACGAATTTTAGCTCCAAAGTCTGTCCATAGATAATGAGCGATACTTTAAACGACACCAAATTAATGCACCTATACAGAAACAATAGAAGACACAGGATACATTTTTTTTCGACTTTTCCTGAGTTTTTAAAGTCAAAATTTCGTAAAAAATACCGCACAAAAATCATCATTTTTGCATTTCAATGCTTTATATTTCCCAGACGGTAAGCTGAAATCACGAAATGTTTGGACTTAACTTCTAGCTGTTTTAATTATCTTTTCAAAATAGCAAAGTTCTTTACAACCAGACGTAAGATACTAGGGTTATGTAAAAAACACTATCGCTACCTCTGAAAAAAGGTTAAAAAAAATACGTTTTAAAAAATTATTTAAAAAAAAATTCTGCCTTAGAAAAAAAACCATAATTCTTTAAAAAATTTTAAAGCCCCATATCTATCAGAAAAGGCGGTTTGGATCCTTGAGGAAAAAAAAAGTTCGATTTTGTCGAGTAGTGTAATCAGTATTGACTACGAAAATGTAAACAATGACAGACAGGAAAATGGTAAAAACAACAACTTTCCTCAGGGTTCCTCTCATTTATGAATGCTCTGCAAAACTCATGCAGTATATTGCACACGCTGTTGGCTGACAGCCTTTCGACTGTTCTGTACTCAGAAAAAGAGCCCAAAGTTTACAATGCTATGGCTATACAAAACTTTCCTTAAAAAACGCCTCGCTGTTTTCGGTTACATCTTCCTACCAAAATGTCCCAAGCCGTTTCTCAAAAAAAATAGAAAATATAATTGTATTTAAAACATTGATTGAATTTAGTAGAAGCAGTCACAAATGACCACGCTTCGGTGTTTTCAAAACAGATCCATTCAAATAAATTCTCCTCGTATATCTTGACCACATTATTATCATCATCTATGTCCAGCAACATGATAAGATTGTGGAAGAATATATTTAGGTGCTGAATAAAATTCACAACCATTGCAATATTATTATTCATTTAAATTATAAAAGAAACAAATTTTCCGCCGCACCAAATTGTGTGCACATGCTATTTTTCATGGATGGTGGATGGCGGTCACGAACCGAATAATATGGGACCGTTCACAAAGATCCTAGCTTGACATATTCGTTGTATGAACTGGCAAATCTTTATACTGTATGGTTGTGACTCAACCAATCAATAAATACTTTTGGATAAGCTTTGAGTGTAAATAATTTTACTTCACTTCACTTATCATTTCATTTGAATGCAGTAACTGGCTATCTGCTTCATTCTATCGTTCCGAGCTAACTCAGGGCCGCTAACTTGACTAGTTTTTAGATATTCATTCATATATGTATCTTTGTTTTTAGAAAGGAAAAGTTTCGCAACAAAAATGTTCTCAGTAACTTGTATAGCTCCGGTCAATATTGCAATTGTTAAATATTGTAAGTAAATCACAAGTTTTTAGGAACAAGTTTACAAAATTCCGTATATGTATTTTCCAGGGGGAAAACGTAATGAAGAATTAATTCTTCCCATTAATGACTCAATTAGTATGACACTTGGCACAAACGAGGTAATTATTAACTGCATTGGAGACAAGAATTGTACATACATACAGAGGTCAGGATTACATTATGAAATTCAGCCAACCAACAATAGGCAATAGAAAAGCCTACGTTGTAAAAATACTTTATTATATTATTTTTAAAGATATATTTTTTATGTTTTAAGAATTTAACTTAAAAACAACTTAAAAATGTCAGCATTGATCGAAAGCAAGCCCTACTATTTCAAAATTTCGTTCAGACATATTCCGAGTCTTTCTGTACATCGGGGGTTACACAGATTACCATTCCAACCGAATCCCAATTGAGTTGCAAACTGGGTGTCAAAGCATGCACGATAGGTTTGAAAAACTGGTGGACTATTCGTTTAAATACACCGTTAAGCACATTTCACTCATAGAAGTTTTACCGTTTTGGAAAAGTTATTAAATTTCGGACTTCTCTGCATTTTAATTAATTGCCGCTCCAACTATTTACGTTAGCTGGCAACGTCCAATGTGTTATAGTGTGTGGGTAAATTCTCGCTTTGATATTCAATAATAGGCGCCAACGAAAATAAAAGTATGAGTAGTAGTTTTTATACAATTTTTATTAAAGAAAAACTTTTACCAAGGTACTTTTCATCAAAAAGAAAATAAGTGAATTAATTATTAAATTAAATTTCGAACTGATCTGTTGGTGTGGCTTGGATGCCGTTCGCCCTATTATTATTATTATACCCTTACTCGAAAAGTTAAGGGGTATATAAGATGTGGGCTACGCAGAGAAGGAAACGTTTCCGACTCCATAAAGTATATGTATTCTTGATCAGAACAATAGCCGAGTCAATATAGCCATGTCTGTCTGTCCGTCCGTCTTGTTTGTCGCCTAGTCCTTAGAAACTATAGAGAGACCATATATAACATTATTTTGTTTCCAGACTCGTGTGATATCACACTGTTACAAGTGTATTTTAAAATTTCGCCCCGGACCCTTCCTCCAGCACAAAGGGCAAAAATCTGTCGCATCCACAATTATAAAGATACGAGACAACAAAGAACAAGGAAATGACCATATCGACCAGATTGCCGAATCTGGGTAGGTTTATTATAGCCAGAATGAAGAAAGGAATTGTCTCAACCTTCCCTCTCGTTTTAATAAATTTTTTTTTATATATAATTTTGCCTACTGTTCGACTCTCTCAATATGTCCTCTCTGTAGTGCAACATTTCCTTGACGAAATGTGCCAGTTCGTGCCAACCCATTCCGTTGAGCAGGGCAGTCAAGCCCTGGTCTGTTAGAGTTGGGCTTCCGTAATTTTTTACTCTAATCTCCTTTAGGATAGGTTATGTCGCAAAAAAGTGCATTGTGCCCTCAGGTGCGTGCACTCTGCTGCAGCAAGACTTTTGTACAGGGTTGCGTTAGATGGTAGCAGTTCCCATTAATCGTCAGAAATAAGGGAAAAGTCTTCGGAACTGAAAATCGAAGACGGAATAAGAAAACTTCACAATCAATGGACAACCGCATCGTCATGATGCGTTCATGTCTTCGTTCAGCCATTTTCGCTCAAATTGTCAATGAAATATCATCTCAGACAGTTCCTCGTAGACGTCAATATTCAGATTTAGCAGGACGTATAGCCCAAAAAGTTCCCTTAATCGGAGAAAACAGTTTTAAGATCAGGCAAAAATTTGCCGAAAATAATTTGGCGGGCCAGTGAAATAAAATATGGAGCTACGAAACAAAAAGAAATATTTTTTTTTATGAATCCAGAAGATATATTCGACGCCCAAAAGGCAAAGAATTCGACGTCCGGCACACAAAAAAAAAAATAGTTCAGCTTTGAGGCGGTTGCATAATGGTCTGGGGCTCTTTTTTTATACCCGTACTCAAAAAAGAGTTAGGGGGTTTATTAGATTTGTGGTAAAAGTGGATGTTTGCAACGCAGTGAAGAAAACGTTTCCGACCCCATAAAGTATATATATTCTTGATCAGCATCAATAGCCGAGTCGATATAGCCTGTCTGTCCGTCTGTCTGTCTGTCCGTCTTGTTGAGCGCCTAGATCTCAGAGACTATAAGAGTTAGGGTAACTAAATTTGGTTTTCAGACTCATGTGATATCACACTGCTACAAGTGTATTTCAAAATTTCGCCCCGCCCCCTTCCGCCTCCACAAAGAACGAAAATCTGTAGCAGGCACAATCATATCGTAGAGAATGCCCATATCTACCAGATTGCCGAATTTGAATCCGATCGGATCATAAATATAGCCAGAAAGAAAAAACTTATTCTCAGTTGCTTCCCCCGCCTTCTCCAGCCAGAGTCGTGCTACTCATTCTCTTTCTCGCGCGCATGCTCTTCCTCGTTATGTACGCGAGCGCCCTCTAGTGGTACATGTAGAATCTACATTAGGCTGGGCCAAAATTTGACCGACAAATTTTTTTTTTGTTTTTTCAAGGGGACACCCCCAATTCTGTTCTTTGTTATTCAATAAAATTATAAAAGTTTTTTTTCAAGTTTTTAGTTTAATGTTTGTGGGTTGCTACCAAGAAAAGAAAATACACTTTTTTGGTTAAATATACATTAAAAAAAATGTAATTCGTCGATTTTTTCAAATAATATTGAAAATAATAAACTATTTCATATTGATAATACGGTATTTTTATTTTTTTTTTAGTAACTGTTAAAAAACGAGAAGGAACGTGTGAGTCGCTTCTGGGGACGCGACTCTACTTATACCCGTACTCAGTCAGTATATACATTTTTGCGCTTATAATTTTTTTAGAATTTTAGAATTAAAAAAAAAATTGTTTACATTTTAAACTTTTTTGCTACATCTGTTGTCTACATCTACATCTACAATGTATATTTTACATCTAACATGTAGTTATAGATGTACCATTCATATTCTACATCTCCTCCGCTAGGGGTTGTTCGCGCACTGAACGCGGCAGAGTGTGCGAGCGAGAAAGAGAATGAGTAGAGTCTCCGGCAGCGGGAAGGCGGAGGAAAAAACTGAAAATGAATTTCTTCATTCTGGCTATAATTATGATCCGATCTGATTCAGATTCGGCAATCTGGTAGATATGATTTGATATGCTATGATAGATATGGGCATTCTCTACGATACTGCGCTTTTAGTTTTATCGTATCTTTAAAAATGGGCCTGCCACAGATTTTTGTTCTTTGTGTGGTCGGAAGGGGGCGGGGCAAAATTTTGAAATACACTTGTAGCAGTGGGATATCACATGAGTCTGGAAACCAAATTTGGTTGCCCTAGCTCTGATAGTCTCTGAGATCTAGGCGCGCTCATCAAGACGGACGGACGGACAGACGGACATGGCTATATCGACTCGGCTATTGATGCTGATCAAGAATATATATATGTACTTTATGGGGTCGGAAACGTTTCCTTCTTTGAGTTTCACACATCCACTTTTACCACAAATCTAATATACTCCTTAACTCTTTTTTGAGTACGGGTATAAAAATTAGCGATTGAAGAAAATCTAAAACTTGAGCAGGTTTTTTACTGCCAATAACTGATTAATGACGATGTGAATGGTATCAATATATATGCAATAGATTTCACCAATAACACTAGTTAACACTAGAATTGGGCTGCGTCCCAAAATATTGATTTTTTTGGATTTCGGGGTTTAAAAATGTTTTAAGAAATTATGGTTTTTTTTATGGGGTAGATTTTTTTTAAAGAATTTTTTAAAATCTGGTTTTTAATTTTTTTTGTTTTTTTTCAGAGGTAGTGCTTTTATTTTTCACATAACTTAAGTATCTTATATCTAGTTGCATAAAACTTTGCAGTTCTGAAACGCAGCTATAAAGCCGACCCAGACCCTTTGTATCTGCAGCTTAACGCCTGAAAGATATTAAGCTTTCAAATTCAAATTTCATTATTTTTTGCGGTATTTTTTTTTCGAAATTTTGATTTTAAAAACTCGGGAAAAGTGGAAAAAAAATAATTCTTGGCCAACATTTTTGGTTTTAGATAGACGCATTAATTGCTCGTCGTTTGAGGTATTGATTATTAGAATCAATGGATAAACGGTCAATTTGGAGCCGTTTGACCAAAACAACTCAAAAATAATTTTACCTGAAATTAATGCTTTTTTTTCACATAACTTAAGTATCTTACATCTGGTTGCGTTTGTCTGCTTTTCAGAACTGCAAAGTTCTATGCAACCAGATATAAAATACTTAAGTTATGTGAAAAATAGAAGCACTAACTCTGAAAAAAAACAAAACAAAAATACCAGATTTTAAAAAATTCTTTAAAAAAAAACTACACTATAAAAAAAAACCATAATTCGTTAAAAAATTTTAAACCCCGAAATCTATAAGAATCTAAATTTTGGGCCACAGCCTAATTTTAGTGTTGACTAGTGCAATTAGTAAATTTCTCTGGTGCGTTTTGTAGGAAAGCAAAGCAAAATAGTGCTGTATCGCTTGGCTTTCCTGAATGAGCAGTTTTTAAAAACCTGCGCCAGGCTGTCTGGCTCAACCTTGATTTGCATGCCCTTTTTTGTCCCATTAAATCTCCTGACAAACTCCCAGAAGCACTTTCTTTCTTATGTTATTGACTTTAAGCTCTATATTCCTGTAGTGGTCCTACTTTTTTGTTTTTAAAGGTTTTTTTTTTATTCCCAATGAAAAAATAAAATAAGAAAAAAAATTATTCTACAAAATTATTTTTGACTGACTAAAACTCTGTTCTACTTATTAAATTTTTGCTCATGAGCTTCCGAAAAATGTGTATGAAAAATTAAACCTCCTGAGATACTGTGACAACTATGATTGGATATAATTTTTTCCGACTTTTTAAACTCAAAATTTGGAAAACCACTGCGCAAAAAGCACAAGCTTTCCATTTGAAAGCTCTATATTTCTCAGACAGTAAATTGAAACAGCAAAGTGACTGGGTGCTGCCTAGTTAAAAACTGGATATATTATTTTCACAAATGAAAAGTTTATTATAACCATATGTAAGATACTTAAGTTATCTCTGAAAAAA